GCACAGTATCCCCGTGTTCTGTTCGTACAACTTCCTCTTGATCTATGTATAGGTTCCTCATGAGCACAATTAAGTGTTCTGGAATTCCCGTTCTTCACAGTGTTGTGCATAATTTGTTATGATCCACACAGTCGAATGCCTTTGCATAGTCAATAGAACACAAGTAAACATTTTTCTGGTATCCTCTGCTTTCAGCCAGGATCCATCTGACATCAGCATTGATATCCCTGGTTCCACATCCTCTTCTGAATCTCGCTTGAATTTCTGGCAGTTCCTTGTTGATATACTGCAGCAGCCGCTTTTGAATGATCTTCAGCAAAATTTTACTTGCGTGTGATATTAATGACATTGTTCAATCATTTCCGCATTCAGTTGGGTCACTTTTGTTGGGAGTAGGCATAAGTATGGATCTCTTTTAGTTGGTTGGCTAGGTGGCTCTCTTCCAAATTTCTTGGCATAGATGAGTGAGCACTTCCAGCACTGCATCTGTTTGTTGAAACATCTCAATTGATGTTCCATCAATTCCTGGAGCCTTGTTTTTCACCAGTACCTTCAGTGCAGCATGGACTTCTTCCTTCAGTACCATCAATTTATGATCATATGCTGCCTCCTGAAATGGTGGAACGTCGACCAATTCTTTTTGGTATAGTCACTCTGTGTATTCCTTCCATCTTCTTTTAATGCTTCCTGCATGATTTAATATTTTCCCTCTGGAGTCCTTCAGTATTGCAACTCGAGGCTCAGATTTTTTCTTCAGTTCTTTCAGCTTGAGAAATGCCAGCCATGTTCTTCCCTTTTGGTTTTCTATCCCCGGGTGTTTGCACATGTGATTGTAATACTTTGTCTTCTTGAGCCACCCTTTCAAATCTTCTGTTCACGTCTTTTACTTCATCATTTCTTCCTTTTGCTTTAGCTACTTAACATTCAAGAGCAAGTTTTAGAGTCTCTTTAGACATCTATTTTGGTCTTTTCTTTCTTTCCTGTCTTTTTAATGATCTCTTGCTTTCTTTCACGTATAATGTCCTTGATGTCATTCCACAACCCATCTGGTCTTCGGTCATTAGTGTTCAACGTGTCAAATCTATTCTTGAGGTGGTCTCTGAATTCGAACGGGATACACTCAAGGTCATACCTTGGCTCTCGCGGACTCGTTCAAACTTTCTTCAGTTTCAACTCGAAACTTGTATATGAGCAATTGATTTATTCTGCACTCGGCCCTTGGCCTTGTTCTGATTGATGATATTGAGCTTTTGCATGGTCTGTTTACACAGATACAGTCAATTTGATTCCTGTGTATTCCATCTGGTGAGGTCCACATGTATAGTCGACGTTTATGTTGTTGAAAAAAGGTATTTGCAATGACAAGTCGTTGGTCTTGCAAAATTCTATCATTTGATCTCTGGCATTTTTTCTGTAACCAAGGCCATATTTTCTAACTACCAGTCCTTCTTTGTTTCCAAGTTTCTCATTCCAATCACCAGTAATTATCAATGCATCCTGATTGCATGTTCAATCAATTTCAGACTGCAGAAGTTGGTAAAAATGTTCAGTTTCTTCATCTTTGGCCTTAGTGGTTGGTAAGTAAATTTGAATAACAGTCGTATTGACTGGTCTTCCTTGTAGGCATGTGGATGTTATCCTATCACTGACAGCACTGTGCTTCAGGATAGATCTTGAAATGTTCTTTTTGATGATGAGTGCGACGCCATTCGTCAGGTTGTCAATCCAGACAAAGTAGACTATATGATTGTCCAATTCAAAATGGCCAATACCAGTCCATTTCAGCTCACTAATGCCTAGGATATTGATGTTTTTGTATTCCATTTCATTTTTGACTATTTCGATTTTCCTAGAGTCATACTTCATACGTTCCACATTCCTATTATTACTGGATGTTTGCAGCTGTTTCTTCTCATTTTGATTTGTGCCACATTAGCTAATGAAGGTCCCGAAAGCTTGACTACATCCATGTCATTAAGGTCGACTCTACTCTGAGGAGGCAGCTCTTCCCCAGTCGTATTTTGAGCGCCTTCAATCCTGAGGGGCTCATCTTCTGGCACTGTATCAGACAATGTTCTGCTGCTATTTATAAGGTTTTCACTGGCTAATTTTTTTCAGAAGTAGACTGCCAGTTCCTTCTTCCTAGTCTGTCTCAGTCTGGAAGCTCAGCTGAAACCTGTCCACCATGGGTGACCCTGCTGGTATTTGAATACCCATGGAATAGCTTCCAGCATCACAGCAACACGAAAGCCCCCACAGTACAACAAACTGACAGTTGCGTGGAAGGGGGGATTTCTACCAATGAACCACCAATGACCCTTTTTTAAGGAGTAAGCAAAGAAAATGAGCAATGAGAATATGTGGGACTAGAGAGGAGTAGTATAAAGCTGAGAAGTTAAGTGATTTTTTTTTGTTGTTGAGAATACACACAGCAAAACATATACCAATTCAGCAGTTTCTGCATGATGTATAATTCCGTGCATTGCTTATATTCTTCAAGTTGTGCAGCCATTCTCACCCTCCTTTTTCAAATTATTCACCCCATTAATATAAACTCATGCTGCCCAAGCTTCCTGTCTATTTTTTAGAATTGTCAGTTTGATCCCATATAGATGGTTCTTTAACAGAGCATAATAAATGCTCAAGGAAGATATTCTTTATTAATTAAGCTAAACTATTGCTTGGTTTAAAGAGGACTTCAGGGGGTATTTTTGGTTTAAGGTTTAAAAAGATTATCTCAAGGCAATAATTTTGTGAGTTCATTCAGCCTCAGTGTCTCCAGAAAGTCTGGATTCCATGAGAATTTGAATCTCTGTTCTGCATTTTCCCCCCCTTTTGTTCAGGATTCTTCTATAGAATCTTTGATCAAAACATTGAATAATTGTAGCTGGGCACCATCCAGGTATTCTGGTCTCGTGGCAGAAGAGGCAGTTGTTTATGGAAGCAGTTAGCCACACATTCTGTTTTCTCCTCCTTTTTCTGACTCTCCTTCTTCCTCTGTTGCTCCAGGTGCACAGAGAATTAATTGTTGTATCTTAGATGACCGCTTGCAGATTTTTAAGACCCCAGGCACTAAGTCATCAACTAGGAGGTAGAACCCAAAACCTGTTGCTGTTGAGTCGATTCTGACTCGTAACAACCCTAAAAATGATGTTAGGCCAATTAACTGGGATGTCCCATGAAACCATGACCCTAAACCTTCAAACCAAGAAACCATATCCCATGAGGTATTTGGTTGCACATAGCACCCTCAGCAGCTACTCCTCTTTGTTGTTGTTGTAAAAATATATATTGCACAACATTTGCCAATTCACCTTTTTACAGGTATACAACAGTGTCATCAATTACAATTGGCTGTGTAACCATTACCGATAATCGGTGTGACTTTTCCATCACCATAAACAAAAACTTACTGCTCCATAGGCAGTAACTCCCCCTTTCCCCCTTCCTTCTGCCCATGGTAACCACTAATAAACTTTGTTCTTTATACATTTGCCTGTTCTTGTCTTTTTCTATAAGTGAGGTCATATAAAATTTGTCCTTTTTTATTTTATTTTTTTTTATTGTGCTTTAGATGAAGATTTACAGAGCAAATTAGTTTCTCATTAAACAATTAATACACAAATTGTTTCGTGACCTTGATTACCAACCCCACAATGTGTCAACGCTCTCCCCTTCTCAATCTTGGGTTCCCAATTATCAGCTTTCCTGTCCCCTCCTGCCCTCTCATCCTTGCCCCTGGATTAGTGTGCCCATTTAGTCTTGTTTTGTTTTATGGGCCTGTCTAATCTTTGACTGAAGAGTGAACCTCATTACTGAGTTGAAAGGGTGTCTGGGGGCCATTCTCTCGGGGTTTCTCCAGTCTCTGTCAGACCAGTAAGTCTGGTCTCTTTTTGTGAGTTAGAAGTTTGTTCTACATTTTTTTCCAGTTCTGTCCTGGACCCTCTGTTGTGATCCTTGTCAGAGCAGTTGATCTTGGTAACTGGGCACCATCTAGCTTTCCTGGACTCAGTCTGGTGAAGGCTGTGGTAGTTGTGGTCCATTAGTTCTTTGGACTAATCTATACCCTTGTGTCTTTGGTTTTCTTCGTTCTCCCGTGCTCCAGACTGGGTGAGACCCGTGGAGTATCTGAGATGGCCGCTCACAAGCTTTTAAGACCCCAGACGCTACTTACCCAAGCGTAAAGTTTGTCCTTTTTTGATACATTATTTCATTCAGCATAATATCTTTAAGCTCCATCCATGTTGTGGCACGTATCGGTACTTCATTTCTCTTTCTGGCAGAGTAGTGTTCCATTGTATGTATGTACCACATTTTATTTATCCATTCATCCTTTGATGGACGTTTAGGTTGTTTCTACCTTTTGTTAAGTGAGATTTGATGATTTGGACTAAGATCATGAATGTCCTTTGAAAAAGTAGTTTCTTAGTATTAGAAATGATACCAGATTTTGTCTAAGGAATGAAAGGGAGGTGAAAAATTGAAGGAAGCAAAACACTCAAAAAAAGTTGTACAGCAAAGAAAAGGAAAAAAATACTTTTATTTTCACTGTCTATGTAGTTTAAAATAGTCATAATTTACTATGCAATAATCTGCTGCTGTAGAAATTTCTTCCATATTCTTTAATTCCTTAAATATTTGAAGATAAGGACTTTCTCTATTTCTCTTCTCTCCTAATGCTGTTATGAACACAGTAATGTTTGTTAAATGATTTATTAATTAACCAATTTTTGGTGTCACTTTATTGCCTTCCACTAGATGGACCTCTTTCTATTTTTTCTTTTCTCATGTGCTTATCTTTTTTTCTCCCCCAGACTGTTTTCTCTATTTTTCCTTCTTTATTTGCTTTTTTTTTTTTCTCACTTATTCCGTAGAGGCAGTATCTCAGGACAATCAAGGTTAAAGTGTTACTTCTTTTAGGGTTCAGATTAAAACATTGCAAAAGTTAGTAAGCTTTGGAGGTATATTACTCTGTTAAATTTCTCGTCTTTCATCCCTAGGAAGAATATAAAAAAACAACAGTGTGAAGCCATTGTTGGAGCCCAGTGTGGCAACGCAGTGTTAAGAGGAGCCCATGTCTATGTTCCAGGAATTGTATCAGCTTCCAAATGTAAGTATAATGTTTAGATTTCTCTGGAAAGCAAAGGTGCTCTAAAATTTATTTTCTTTATCAAATAGAATTGTCATTCAGAGATATTTCAAATTTATATTTGTCAGATATTTTCAAGTTTTACCTTTAGTATAGCCAGGGATATGGACTAAAATATTCAGCATTATGTAAGGTTTTCTGGCAGTTTTTCACTTTCCATATCAGAATGTGTACATTGATGTTTATTTAGGAGATCTTTGCTGATAAATAGAGAAGATGGAGCCCTGGTGGCACGGTGGTTAAGTGCTTAGCTGCTGGCCAGAAGGTCGGTGGTTTAAACCACCAGCAGCTCTGCAGGAGAAAGATACCGCAGTCTGCTTCCATAAAGATTACAGCTTTGGAAATCCTATGGGGCAGTTCTACACTGTCCTTTAGGGTTGCTCTGTGTTGGAATCCACTCAACAGCAACGGGTTTGGTTTTTGGTTTTAAGATGTCAAAGAGATTTCATTTTGTACCCTTGATTCCATTATCCTAAAACCTCAGACTGCTGTTAATCATCTGTGAGGGTAACATTCAAAACCTGGAGTCTTAACATTGGGATGAAATCAAAACCTGGAATCTTAACATTGGGATGAAATTTAGTATTCTTAATTTATTCCCAATCGATGGCATATTACATAAGCTTAATAAGTTAGCTGCTGTGGTTCAGTGGTACCTTATTGTACTTTAAATCAAGAAATGTCGGTTTAGACCTATTAGAAAATTATTTAATCTCTGGGCCTTGATTACCTTGTCTGTGAAATAAATAATTTGATCTATGTTAGGCTTTGGCAGACTACTGCCTGCTAGCTGTCTGGCCCATAGTCTGTTTTTGTATGACATACAAGCCAAGAATTTTTTTTTTTTAATTTTTAAAAAGTTGTAAAACAAATACAAAGAAGAATATGCAATAGAGACGTTAATGTGGCCCACAAAGCCTAAAATATTTACTGGCCCTTTACAAAAAAAATTTTGTTGACCCTTGATCAGGATGATTTTAACAGTCCTTCTAGCTCTAGCTAATAGGCTGCTCACTACTATTTGTTAGGTTAATGGGCTAAACACATTTCTAATAGGTTAGATTTTAAAATGTTTTTTGGAAGAGAGTAGTTTTCCCATTTATTAATGTCACTGGGATTTTTTCCTGAAAACAGTTTATAGAAATGATAAAAACTAGATTTAATCATTCATATAAATCAACTGTGTATTATACAATTTCAAGGTGTTCTAAGTTTATATGCGTAAAAATATGTATATGTATGTGTGTGTATACATATATGTGAATTGATGAATGTATGTGTTTATTATTAAAATTTCTGCCTTAACAGTAATATAACTAGAAAATCACAAAGACCATTTCTTAGATTTTAGTGGACATTTTTGAGGAATCTTTTTGAAGGAAATGTAGAACTTTGAGGACTGAGTAAAGATACCAAGATTTATATGAAATCTTTTAGGAAATGTTAGATTTGGGGAAAATAACTTAAATAGAAGATACCCTTTGTTTTCTGCTCAGCTGAAGACTTTCATTTTGAGGTAGGATGTTTTGAAATCTATTCTATTTCTTTGTTTTCCCTGAAAAAAAAATTCTTCAGTTAGATTTATTGTTAGGGAAATTTAAAGATAAAAGATCAGATTTTCTGTTAAGGATTAAATTCAATAGGGAACTACTTCATACCTTCTATTGATGCCCCTGCAGGTTCCTAGTCTAGCTTAGAGAATTTTCTCTGTCAAATTCTTTCACAAAGTATAGATTCCCACCAAAATATAGTTCAGTATAATCTAATTTTCTTCTTTCTCTAGTTATGAAAGCTGGAGATGTTATTTCCGTATACTCTGATATTAAAGGAAAATGTAAGAAAGGAGCCAAAGAATTTGATGAAACAAAAATATTTCTTGGAAATGGGATTTCTGAATTAAGCCGCAAGGAACTCTTCAGTGGGCTACCTGAACTGAAGTATGTCATCAAGTGTTGTCTGGGGAGAATAAGCATCCTTTTTGTGGTTCAAAGAAAATTGAAAACAATTTTAAGAATATATCTAGTTGCATTATACAAATAACATTTTTTGGGATAAATTCAACTGGCAAGGAATTAACTCATGTTTCCGTGATTTTTGGAAAAAAATGTTTTTAGGTAAAAGAGAGAATATGGTCAGATTGAAGAGCCCAAGTAAGCAAACGGTCACACTGAAATTGTTAAATAATTTTACTTGTCCTTTTGAATTTTGTTGACTTGAATATTTTCGCAGCTTTGAATAATAATATTTATAGAATATCTTGATAGAGAGTGAATTTGATGATGTCTCCAGATCTTTTCTAACATTCTGATTATGTGAAAGGAAAAGCTTATGATTTTAATATAAATTAACAATAAAAATTTTTAAAAATTTTACCAGAATGCCATACTTGCCTGAATATTTATAGTTAAAAATGTGCATTTGAATTCTTTCAAACCAAACTGAATTGTAGTTAGTTCTGAATCATCTCTGGTTGCTAGTACATCTAAATAAACTAAATCTGTGGACCATCCATGCTTTTATTTACTTAGATTTTTCAGCTTATTTTAGTAGTTCTTTTGGACGGCTTCATTACTTCAAAGTTGGCTACTAACGTAGACCTGCTGAAGGCTGTGAATTTATCCTTCTAGGACTGGACCACATCCTTGATTCCTAGAACAGTTTTTCATGGTGCAGCAATTTGAATTTACAGTTAAAATTAATTATTCTGAAGAATCAGACTATTGGATTCCCTAGATCTAGCAGTGCTTTGCAAATGGCCAAAACAAGGAGCCCAGTGATGCAGTGGTTAAGCATTCAGCTGCTAACCAAAAGGTTGGCAGTTTGAACCTATCTAGTGGCCCCGCAGGAAAAATACCTGGAGATCTGCTTGCGGAAAGATTACAGGCTAGAAAACGCTATGGGGCAGTTCTACTCTATCACAGGGAGTCACTGTGAGTTGAAATTCAGTTCACAGCACCTAACAACAACAGAAGGCTTTATGAATACAACGATTATGTATATGCATATGTTGTATTTATCTTTTATCTGTGCGTCTGCAACAGAAAATTGATGTTTTGACTGCCTCCTGTAGTTCACTGTTAGTAGGTCACTCTTTATCCTGTTCTCTTACTTAGTGTGGTAGTGCCGTTTACTGTGTTGTGACAGACTTTTCTAAATACTGCGTTCTTTGTTGAAGGGAGTAGGAGGCAGCTGTCTTTAAAAAAGATTTATTTTATCCACATCATTTATTTCTTATAGAGCCACTCTTTGAGTGTTTGTTTTTGTATTTTGGGCTCCTTTTTTTTGGTTTTGGTTTTTTTTTAAATTGTGCTTTAGGTGAAAGTTTACAGCTCAAGTTAATTTCTCATACAAAAATTTATACACATATTGTTATGTGGCACTAGTTGCAATCCCTATAATGTGACAGCGCACTCCCCCTTTCCACCCCAGGTTTCCTGTGTCCATCCAGCCAGCTCCTGTCCCTTTCTGCCATCTCATCCTGCCTCTGGGCAGGAGCTGCCCATTTGGTCTTGTGTATCTGCTTAAACTAAGAAGCACACTCTTCACAAGTATTATTTTATGTTTTATAGTCCAGTCTAAGCTTTGTCTGAAGAGTGGGCTTTGGGAATGGCTTTAGTTTTGGGTTAACAGAGCATCCAGGAGCCATAGCTTCAAGCATTTCTCCAGTCTTAGTCATACCATTAAGTCTGGTCTTTTTATGTGAATTTGAGTTCTGCATCACACTTAAAAAAATGGTGATTTTAACTTAACTTTATTCATTTGTTCTACAGTGATTTCAGTCTCTTCCTGTGTTAGAAAAAGCATGCTTCTGTAACAAAGAAATACTATGGTATACCTGCTGTTTCTTATTTATATTCTTTTTAAAATTTTAAAACAAACACTATTAATGGTTTGTTATTTGATTAGGGAACTTGTATCCTTTGATTCTTTGAATTCCAGGTGGACTGAATCATTCAAAGACTCAGAGGTAGATTAATTTACTAATAGTCTGTTTTATGAGATCTTGTACATTATTATATGAATATATTACATTACTACAAAAAAAAAAAAACCATGTGTGATTCCATACCTGAACAATAATTGGCTTAAATTATCTTTCTTAAGTTAAATACTGTATAGATGGACTCATTGGTGCTGATAGACATGGTCAGAAGGGAATAGTCAAACGGAGACCAGAACTTAAAGCACTAGGTAGGACATATTAAATGTTAAAGTTTCAGTCTTTTTCAAAGGACTGGAGACTTGTGAGTCAGAAAATCATTTAAATTACGAAGAAATGGTCAGGTCTTGGAATTCAAGGCATTTAATAATGGGTCTAGACTCTGGGTGGAAGGTGAAGTATTGATCAGTATAAAAGCACCAGGTGTCTTCAACAAAGGACTGACTTTTGAATATGAGGCTGTGACATTTCAGAAGGCTCCTTTTTGTATTTCTTGCGAAGGGTAGGGAGGGGGAGAGGAACTGTTTGGGAAGTGAATACAGTGGCTTGACTTGATCCTGACTGGAGAAGAGAGAGAAGCTTAACTTTGATTAAAAATAGGATGCACATTGAGAGATTTCAAGAGGTAAACAAATATGTGAGAAGGTAAAGAGGATGGGGAGAGGAAGAAAAGACTTAACATTTGCTGTATGCTGTGAGGTTCATAGTTCACCTGAGGGGAGTTCATAGTCACACCCCCTGCAATCACAGTCTGCAGATAACCTACAGAAATTATTTCACTCTAACAAGCAGCATAGATTTACCCTGCCTACATTGAGTAGGGTATACACCATCTGTGTAGATGCTTCTCTGCCAAGATCAGTTCATAAGCTAGTTGTGCTGTATCTGAACTTGTCTACTATACTGTATCTGAGGACTCTATCCTTGTTCTCCTTACTTGGACTCTCTTCTTTGCTTGCACCCTGGTCGAAATCCTGATTCTTATCCTTGCCTCTATAATTAGATTGTACTTTTCTCTGCCCTTCTAATTCCCAAAACACTGCTTTCATTCCCATTTTCTTGCTTTCTCTGATTTGGCCTCATACACCGGGCCATGCTTGGCTTTCTCTAACAGTACTTGTGTGCTTTTTCTCCCCTTTGGCAGTCTTTGACAACCTCTCTCAGATTGCGTTGTCCATCTTTATAAATCACTGTCCACCCTGCCTTCCTGAGTCTGGGTTCTCCTGTGGAAAAGATTATCTGAGGATTGTGTCAGTACCTAGCAATTATTCTATAAAGAGATGAGAGGGAGAGCAGTGTAGCACGTTTGTCATTGCTTAGCATCAGCATGATTCAGAGTTTTTTTCATTTTTTTATACGAGTGCCTAGCACAGTGCCTTGAAAACTGAAGCATTCACGGAATGTTTATTGAGTTGAAAGGCTAATAACAATGATCATAAATATGTTACCAGAAAGAGTAGAACGAATCAAAAAGTAAAGACTCAGGTATTCTTTCCTTTTTAATCTATTCAAATTTCTAAATGAACTCATCTGTGCCTAAATGAAACATTTATGTAACTTTATCCTTTTTTAGTTATCCTGATGGTCTCCTACACTGCTGCACATAAAAATTCAAAACAATTTACAGGAACATTTTAAGTATTTTGGTGTTGGGTAAAAGAGGTTTTAAAAAGGCAGAAGACCTAATATTTGACATGCTACTTGGCCATGCTCTTAGAAACATAGCTTCATAATTCTAACTATGTAACTTGTATGGACTAATGTTAGATTTCCTACTTTTTAGAGGAATAGGCATAAGAATGACAGAACCAGTATATCTCAGCCCTTCATTTGACAATGTACTACCCGGTTACTTATTTTTACAGGTAAGTATTTATAAAAATAAAATATTTAATGATGTTAAAACATCCTTCAATTATCTGAAATCTAAGTTTTTTGTTTTTTTTTTTAATTTCTTTTAATGTATTTTTGTGGTCTTTTTTTTATTTTCTGGTCTACCTTTGATTTAGCAGTACGAAACAAGACCTGTTACTCCTCATTCTTTTCTCGTTTTCAACTGATTTTTAACTACTTTTTCTACCTCCTTTGTCCAAGAATGATTTAATAGTAACTTCTTCTAACTACTGCTCTTTTCTGTTCTCAGAATATTAATCTGTAAGTAGTGCATACATTTGATATTTGGGGTACTTAGAAGTGTTAATTTGTAACTTTGTATAAGAATCAAATGGTTTATTACTGTCAGTCTTTTGTCAGGGTGGTTAACAATTGTTGTGATATAACATAATTTGTTTTACCTCATCCAGTTCATTAAGTACTTCATGTACGTTAACTCATTTGATTCATTCCAGGCTGCTGGCTAGGTGGTAGTGGTGTTGCTGTTGTTATTATTCCCAATATAAGGTGAAGATATTGAAGATCAGACCCATTAAGCTTCCTGACCAAGGTCACACAATTTGTGATTGGTAGTGTCAGAACTCAAACCTAAGTCCAAATGGCATTTTCTACTCAGTCCAGTACTGTACCAAAAGACATTTTATAAATTCAGAGATTACTTCTGGCGTCAACAAACAGAAAAATGTATTTATGTTTATTATTATCTAATTCTACATTAGTGATAATATAATACCTAAGGATATAGAGCCTGAAAATTGCTTGTAAATTATTTGGGTTTTTTAACTTGTTTAGTTTTAGTATTTTTGCTTGCTTGTGTATTTTTTTGTATAATCCACTTTCAAACACTTACGAACATTTGACAGTATAGTCCTAAGTCATTGATAGTGATATCTGTGCCTTCTCCACATTAGTAACAGTCAGTGCAATATTATTTTTTCCTTTAGTTTGACAGTAAAGGGCCAGATGACTGCTCATCCCACAATTTAGTTTTGGCTTTGGGAAAAAAAGAGCAGAATCTAGTGCAGTGCAAATATTTTCTTAACTTTCTTGCTACCTATAGCTGTCCCCCTAACCCCCAAATCAGCTTAATGCTGATTCCTTTATGAACTACAAAGGCAAGTCATTTTGTGATTCTTAGTATCCAGACAGCACCATGGAGCATGGTCTTTGCTTTCTAATAGCAAGGAACATGAGATTTTACTGCTGGAATAAAGCTTTTATATCCGAGGGTGTTGCTTAACCTTTTGTCATTGTGGAAGCCTTTTCATTTTGTGTGATCTATTTTGATGACCATTGATTGGCTAGTGAAACTTATTAAAGTGCTAAGTGTTTTATATACATTGTTTCATTTAACCCTTAAACCCCACTGCCATTGAGTTGATTCCGACTCATAGCGACCCTATAGGACAAAATAGAACTGCCCCATAGTGTTTCCAAGGAGCAGCTGGTGGATTTGAACTGCCAACCTTTTGGTTAGCAGCCGAGCTCTTAACCACTGCACCACCAGGACTCCAATCTTTAAAAGCCTCCACTTTTATAGATAAGGAAGTAGAGACCTAGAGAAGTAAAGTGCATAGCACATAGTGAGCACTCAGTAATTACTCATTTACTGAATGAGTGGTTAGGAGCCCTGGTTACTCAGTGGTTAAGTACTCAGCTGCTAATGGAAAGCTCCAAAGTGTGAACCTACCAGTCGCGACTCAGGAGAAAGATGTGGCAGCCTGCTCATCTAAAGATTACAGTCTTGGAAACCCTGTGGGGGAGCTCTACTCTGTCCTATAAGGTCACTGTGAGTTGGAATCAACTAGACCGCAGCTGGTTTGGTTTTGGTTTTGAATGAGTAGTTCGCTCAGTGTCGCATAGATAGACATCAGCAAAGCCAAACTTTGAACCTAGATCTGACTTCAAAAGACTGTGCTCTTAACTTTATGCCAGTGCTCAAAATGTGATCCTTGAATGACCCGCATCTGAATCACCTGCAGGGCCTATTTAAAATGCAGTTCCTGAGCTCCAGTCATAAACTGAATCATAAACTGAATCATACACTGAATCATAAACTGAATCTGGGGAGGGGCAGGGAGCGGTTCCAAGAAATTTGCATATTCAACATGCTTCCCACAGCCTCTTTTTGCAATTTCCCAGAACTCTGTGTCAATTTTTAGTTGGTATAAGAAATTAGTTGATCTTTTTATATTAAGTCTCCCTTTTCAAACTAGTTCAAAACCACCAGACTGACTCTTCATATATCTGACCTAGTAAAATCGAAATAGCCTAAATTCAACCCAGAAGTGGGTGATCCGGAACCAGGTGATATTAGTTTCCCTAAGGTAAGTTATCAAAAGAATGGTCAGAAGAGTAAGTTCACTTTAAAAAGAATATGGAATTTTTATATTCATTATTTTTCTCGAACTCTTGCATATATAATGATTTTCAAAAACAATATACATTTCACATTTACACATAATGGAAATAAGATACAATTGGACAATCCAGATTAAGCAATTAAGCTGCCTTTCTTTTCAAACATACTTGAACACTCAAATGACTACAAGGTCCGGCTGTTCATTAAAAGACACTTACTGAAAGTACATCAGCGTGAGAGGCATCAACCAAATGAAGCACTTTTCAAAAGCTTTGAGTCACTGAAATAGATGCTGACACTTCAGTAACGCATTAAAAATGATTTTTTCTCCTGGTTGTCAGTCAGTATGCACTTCAGTACACTTCACTTCTCTAAAAGCTAAGAAGCTTATGGTAGCCTTAATTTACAATTTTCATTGTGGTGTAGGGAGATTAATTTAGGTCTAACTATAAAAGATACTTAAGGCCTTTCGTAAGTATTAGCTTACGTAGAGAGTCCTGTTCATTACACCAGTCATGTGGACTCTGGAGTAAATTAGTAGGCATCAAATCACTTGTGGAACTTAAAAAAGTATATATACCTACATCCTGCTTCTGGAGATATTTTTTAAAATAAGCTTTTTATTTTAGAATTACAGACTAGAAGTTTAGAACTATTCAGTTGCAAAGCTAGTGCAAGGATTCCTGTATACCCCTCACCCAGTTTTGCCTAATGCTAAGGGAAATATTACCAAGGTACATTTGCCAAAACTTAGAAACCAACATTGTTGTAAGTTACTGTCAAGGAAATCCAAACTTTATTTGGATTTCCTTAATAGTAACTTACCAAATTTTATTAGGATTTTATCAGATTTTTTTCCTCCTGATGTCTTTTTTCTGGTCCAGAATCAAATCCAGGATCCCATACTGTATTTAGTTTTCATGTCTCCTTAGTATCCTCTGGCCTGTGATAGTTTCTCAGTCTTTCCTTTTTTTTTTTTTCTCAAGACATTGACAGTTTTGAGACTAAGGTATTTTGTAGAATGTCCCTCACTTTGGGTTTGTCTGATGTTTTTCTTGTGGTTAGACTAGAGTTGTTGGGTATTGGGAAGAGAACAACAGAAATGAAGTGCCGTTCTTATCACATCATTATCAAGGGGTGTATGATACCTCCTTAGAGATTGATTTAGCAGGTCTGGAGTGGGTCCTGGGAATTTTATTTTTGTTTGTATATTTTAACCTTCACAGAATTTTACCACATATACCCAGTTACCACAAACAAGGGAATGCCAACCTTTAGACTTTTTTTTTTTCCCAAAGATAATAACCAGTATCTTTTGAATATTTACTATGTCACGTACTGTGCTAAGCACTTTTCAGGCATTATGTAGTTTAATCCTATTTATTTCATTCATTATAGTAGACTCTCAGTTATTGTTTATAGTCAACTTTTATTTCTTCTCATCTTGCCCCTGTCTGCGCTTTCCATTTTGTTTGTTGTCTAATAGAAATGTTCCATTTTTATAAATAATATTTTCTATGATATGCTTCTACTTTTCCTTCCTTTGGAGCTATAGGCTGAATATACTCTTTAATTAAATCCCTGTTATATAAGAAAACCTGCTAGACTCCTTAAGATTGTATTGTATCTCTTACTACTTCACTTACTTATCATCACTTATTGATGCCATGAGTTGTTATCCAGGTGTGGAACAACACAGAAAGCTCATATATTTGTAAGCCAGAGTGTATTACCTTTGGAGTCACACAGTGCCCGTCTGTCTTCCTTGGCAATGTTCATTTTGATCACCCTATCAAGACTTCTGATATCTGCACTAATTATGGTTTTTTCCCCTCACAACTAATCATCAGTCTGTGGGGAGACACTTCAAAAATCATCCAAATGTCCTACTCCTCATTAGAATTTCCCCCTAGATTTAGCATCCATTGATGATTCTTGCCTGAGCCAATCTTTACTGTTACAAAATAATGGTTTTCCCATGTCAGCACTCATTCCGCATTTGCCATTTTAATATAAGCAAGAGCCCTCCCCTATTTACTTGTTTCTTAACAGGATGCCCTCCTAAATTCCTAATTGTAATGGCTTGTAATTCATTTTTGCATTTAATTATTTTAGTACTCAAATTCTCCCAGATTTGGCATAGTGTAGACCAATTCTTAAAAACTTTAATGTTCAAATATAATAAAAACCTTGGAGATTTTGTTAAAATGCAGATTCTCATTCTGTAGATCTGGGATAGGTTCTGAGATTCTGTATTTCTGGCAGGCTCCCAGGAGATTTGGATGCTCTTAGTTTGAGGACCACCCTTTGAGTAACAAAGCAATCGGAGATCTGAGAAGTAAGACTTTCTAAAAGTGAAGAGCATTCCTTCATATTTCATATCTTCCTATTATGCTACTGGAATTTTTGCATGATAGAGCTGCTAACTTATATAAATGTACATTATATAAACTTATTTATATTCTACAAGCATTAAGAGTGTAGGTAGGATAGATTTGTAATGATGAGGTTTCTTCTGCTCTTTCTCACCTGCTACCTAACAATTGGTAAGTGTCCACCAAGTTTAAGTTGAGTGTAATCAGTGCTCTGCTGCTGCTTTTGGTAGTAACTCTCCTGCAGCTACAGCTGCCTTGTGTTAAATATCACTCTTACTATTGTTATAGTAAAATAATGTGTGCAGGTCAGGAGTGCTAGGACACCCTGCTGCTTGAGAGTGTTTAAAATTGGAATTACTACCTCTTGTTTATAGTCTGTTTTATCTCTACCAGTATGTAAGTTCCGTGGGAAGAAAGATCTTTTTCTTATTTACACTGTTAACTCCAGTGCATGTGATAGTATCTGGTATATTCATTAAGTATGTGTGGAATAAATGAATGAAACCATCGGCTTACTATTTTGATTCTGAATTTTAAAAAGGATCACTAGGCTAGGATTTATGTAGAGGTTGTGCATTCTGTCCAGTGACTGCTTGTCAGAGTCTGATAAGAGCTTGATAAACCCTGCAAGTAGCTTTGATGTACCACTTTTAGTGACTTCCTTGTTGAAATGGAATAATATATAGTGGTAATTAGTGGATTTTTTTTTTAAATGCTTGAATCATGAGCCAAATCTTGATACAGTATAACAGTTTTTATCTTCATTAATCTATGCTAATTTTTTGTTTTTCTTTTTTTTAGATTTGGCATTTTGCTAGGTGCTTTGAATATATTATCTAAAGACTACACTGGCTTGTAACTTAAGAAAACTGATATGGTTTCTTGAATTATGTTCAGTAACCAATTAATTTTGTAGTTCACAGGGCTGAAGAAGTTATACCATGAAGAAATCATATGTAGTTGGCAAATGAGTTTGACAACTAGTGGCCTTTTTCCATTCTCTGTTATTACTCGTTACTGTACCAAATAAGTGAAATTACTTGTTTTCTGTTGGGAAAATCCCTGGGAAAGTTGGTGTATTTTTTTTTTTTTTTTTAAATGCCTCTTGCCTTTTCTTGAACAAGCATTATCCCCAAACCTACACTGTTTATTGCTTCCAACAGCTAGTGCAAAATCTTCCCATTGTGATTTTTTTACAGGAAGTAGTTAGGGGGTTAGTAATAACTGATTATTTTTAATTCTAGTAACTCAAGTTTCCCAAGGATATTTTGTAAACTTAATACAAATGTTGTACACAATCAATAAAATTACAACTGTGCAATATTATTTGGTTTTTCAAAACCAAAAAAGGAAACTTTTGCTTAAACACAATTCACAGAATTAAAAAAAAAAAACTTAGGTGCTATTCACAATTGATTAAAATAATGGCCAATTAAAGGTTTAACAGTTAAATACAACTGCTTTCAAAGTTATATTCTGTTTTGGCTAGAAGAAAAAATGGTGCCTGAAACTTAGTTGTCTAGTTGTAAAAACATGGGTGCCCGAAATTCTGATTTAACTATTCTAGGTGAGGAGCAGACAATTTTTTAACGCTCACCAGGGGATTCTATTGTATAGCCAGGATTGAGAAATAGTAGTAGAGAATGTAGTAAAATAAATTGTTTTAAGAGAATTCTGCCATCACTTGAATGTTTAATGAAGTTTCTTTACTTGGACTGTTTCATATTTCGAACTTACTGCATAATAGAAAGGTTCTTAATGGCCTTCCTTTGCTTGTTGATGGGTCCACACATGACATCTTGTCTTCCCTGCGTGTGTGTCTTCGTGTCTATTCTGCTCTTTTTATAAGACAACTTTTAGAAATTACTGGGTTTAGAACCCTCTCTACTCATTTAGGACCCATCCTAGTGAACCATTAATATAGCAAAAACCCTATTTCCAAACAGGATCATATGTACAGTTACCAAACTTAGAACTTCAGCATGTATTTTGGGGGGTCTCAATTCAATCCATAATATACTGGTACCTAGAAAACACTGATATTAGGGAAGAAATCCTGGATTGATTAGAGAAATACATTGTGTGTGTGTGTAAGTCCTGTGAGTTACTCTAGGAAATTGTGAATTTCCTGACACTGTTGTATTTACAAAAACTGTATTCTTGGCAGGCTTGAGGATGCTGTACTGGATTAGCTCCAAGGGTTTCTGATTCTGAAATTATGAAGATGATTTAGAATAATTGGCAGTTGATTGCTTTTTTTTCTATATAGAATTTACCATCTGCTGTAGTAGCCCATGTTCTGAATCCTCAACCTGGAGAGAAGATTCTGGACTTGTGTGCAGCACCAGGAGGCAAAACAACACACATTGCAGCATTAATGCATGATCAGGTCAGACTCTCTTCACAGCAAAACTATTTAATGTATTACGTATTTTAGTGGAGAAGGTGGAATTTCATGTAACTTATGAACCGTTATACAGACATTCATGATCTGAACGTTTACAGATTCATTTAAAGTAAAGACTATTCAGACATGTCACTCATCATATATTAAATTCAGTAGACAATTATCATTTGCAAAAACTGTCTCAAGACCTTCTGTTTGTTAATACAATTATAGAATACAGTTCCTCCCTCATAAAATTAAGTTTAAGTATCCTGAAACATTTAAGAGATCCTTTTGTGTTCTTAATTATAAGACTTAGTACTTTTTATAAACTGTTAAAATACTGCCACTAAAATTAATTTTATAGTACATTATTGAAGTATTGAAATATATATGTCAGAATATATATGTACACACATGTATATAATACACAAATAAATAAACATACACACACATAAGTATCTAACGTGTGTTTGTGTGTTCTTGTCTTGGAGTTCATAAAGACTTTATGATCTGTTTTAATTATAAAGTCTGCTTCATTGCCACAGAATATGAGTTAAGTCTTTCTTGGATAACTTTAGCTCAGATATTTACTACTACTTCCTATGTATGTGGAGTCTCTGGGTGTCACAGATGGTTAAGTGCTCAACTACTAGCTGAAAGATTGGCAGTTCAAACCCACCCAGAGACACCTTGGAAGACAGATCTGGCAATGTGCTTCTGAAAGATCACAGCCTTGAAAATGCTATGGAGCGGTTCTACTCCACACACATGGGTTGCCATGAATCAGAATCAACTTGATGGCAACTAACAACAGCACCAACCTATGTATACATATTTTCAAAGGTGTTTTCTTTCTTTATGGGCTGGTTTTATCTGTGTTGAAGACTCATTGTGGCCCTGTAACCATTCTATTCTTGAACTGAGATTTCTCAACTCAGAAAGGATATGGTCAGTTGATTCTGTCTTTCTAGTTTGTTTCAAATTTTGTAAAACTAAAAAGTTTCTAAAATCCTAATACATGGTAGTATCTTCACCCACAGTAGCTTTCTTTATCTGGAACCAGATTTTGATCACTTGATTGATTGATTGAACAGATACTTATTTAGTACCTGGCTTTGTGCCAAGGGCTGGGGATACAGAAATGAACCACAGTGACCAAAATTCCCACCTTCATGGAGTTTATATTCTAGTGACAGGTGACAGATAATAAATAAAAGAATGAAATATATGGCATATCAGATTATGAATAAAGGAGAGTTAGGGAAGTAGGGAGTGTTGAGGGAAGGGGGACTGAGAATTTGCAGTTTTTAATGGGGTGATCATGGAGGTCCACACTGTGAAGGTAATATTTGAAGAAAAACTTAAAGGAGATGAGTAATATGGAAATCTATGGAAGGAATGTTCTAGCTAGAAAAAATAATAAGTGTAAATGCCCTGAGGTGGAGGAGTTCCTAACTTGGTTGGGGAACCACAGTGGTTTTGCTGAAGTACACTACATGAGGAGGAGGAGGGTAGGCAGAAAAGAGATCAGAGATGTAGGCTAGAGAGAGGGCATTTGGGCAAAACAGTTTTGTAAAATCTTATAGGACTTTGGTTTTGCTCAAGAGTGATAGAAAGTCATTGGAGACGTTTGGGGAGAAGAGTGACATAAGCCTAATTCCTTTTTAAACTGTTATTCTGGCTATTGCGTTGAGAAGAAGCTATATGAGGTTAAGAGTAGAAGTTACAGAGACCAATTAGGAAACTAATTCAGGGAGAAGCAGTGGAAGTGCTAAGAAGTGGTCCGATTCTCTGAATATACTTTCAAGGTAGAGCTAATAGGAGTTGCTGATAGGTTGAATATTAGTTGTAAAAATGAGAGAGTAATCAAGAGTGACTCCTAAGATTTTTGGCTTGAAGAAAGGGAAGGAAGGATTAATTGCTGGATGGGGACAAGTATGGGAGGAGCAGATTTTGCAGGGAGGAATCAGAAATTCAGTTTTGAACATATTAAGTGAGATGTCAGTTAGATATCCAAGAGTTTCGAGATGTTGTGAAGGCAGTTGGATATATATGAGTCTAGAGTCCAGGAGATGGGTCTAAGTTGGAGATATAAACTTGGAAATCATCAGTATATTGATAATATGTAAAGCCATACAACTGGATGAGTGGAAATAACAAATAGAAGAGTTCTCGGGACTGAGCCTCATGGATATAGTATACCAACATTCAGAGGTTGGAAAATGAGAAGGAATGGTCACTGTTACAGGAGGACAACCAGGGGAGTGTGATACCCTGGAAGACATGTGAAGAAAGGGTTAAAGGAAGATGGAGAGATTAACTATGTCAGATATTGTTGATAGGCCAAGTAAGATGAGGACTAAACTTACCACTGGATTTAGCAACATGTAGGTCATTGGTGACCTTGACCTGAGTTGTTTGGTATATATAAATGTATGCTTGGTTTTAAGAAAGAATGAGAAGAGAGGAGACAAAAAAAAATGAGTAGAGTCAACTCCTTTGAGGAGGGAGTGTTGTGCAAATCAGAGACATGGGGTAGTAGTTGGAGGGGGATGTGGGACTAAGATTTTTTTTTAAGATAACAGAAATAACTGTTTCTGTGTCAACGAGAAAGATACATTAGAAGGAGAAAATTGGTAGCACCTAGGAGAGAAGAAAAAAATTATTGGACCAGTATCGTTGAGTAGTTGAGATATGATGGGGTTTAGTGCACAAGTAGCAGAAATGGGTTTAGATAGTAGCATGGGACAGTTTATCCATGGAAGTAGTAGGGAAGGCAGAGTACATGGGTGCAGACAGTGGTAGATTGGTAGATGTGGTAAGAGACTGGAAGTTCTCTTCGGGATGTTTCAGTTTTCTCTGTGGAATAGGAAGCGAGGTTGGTCATCAGATGAGAAAGGAGGAGGAAGAGGTTTTAAGAATTTTGAGAAGGTATGAAAATTAATTTAGGAAAATAGGTGAGAAAATGGGCTATAGACACATCATAAATCCAGTTTGTACTAATAGTCCCATGAATGTAGCAATCGAGAAGTTAAAGTGAGGTTGGTATGGTTATGTACTTTTCAGCTGCATGGGGGTAGACATAGAGTTGGCAAAGAATTGTATTTACCCATGGTTGCGTTTTTGTTGTGTGTGTATGTGCAGGAGAGGAGCATGGGAGTTGAGGATGTGTGCAAGGGAGTGATTATCATGATGTACCGTGGAATCTAAACTGGGTGAAGAGCATAGCAGGGACATTAAAAGGATGAGGGCAGTGGACCAGTTGTTACTTTTCTAAATTGGCTCGAATTTATACAGCAGTAGACAATCTTATGAACCTAGGAAACTAAGCCATTATCTTCATGGTACTAATTTATAAATAAGAAAAGATTACCTGGGGCAAGATTTTCTGGTGTAAAAATATACCTCTTATAAGGCTTTTAGTAAAGCCCTTCTGCCGTAGCTGATTTACTGGATAGAAGATATGTATCTGTGTTCCCAACCCAAAAGTGCCAGATTATTATGGACTTTATCATTTGATGATTCTTAAGACTGTCAAAGGATTTATAAGGAATCTTTGTCAGAAAAAAGTAGAAACATTTACTGTGTCAAGATGAAATTGTAACTTTTTTTCCTTTCATTAGTGCAAATCTTAGTTATCCAAAGACTTCTGATGAAAATTCACATTGCCCATTAGTATTTAACTTTAATGCTATTAAAATTTCTGAAACATTCACAGTGTCAAGCAGGGGGTAGAAAAAATATATAAATAAAAATAAACTAATGAGTATGGGTATTATGTGTATGTAGACACACACATAACACACACAGTCCAGAACATTTTGCTATAATGTACAGATGTTTTGGCTTATATTTTTGGCTTTAATTGCCTCAATTCACATGAATTTTGTTATGTGTATAGCTCAGAAAATATTGAGATCAGGATTTGGTTAATGAATTCAGCTTTAAAACTAGGGGTGAGGGTGGGAATGGAGAAGATTAGTTTTTCATGAGTTTTTCTTATTAATAGTTTTCATGACCAATTTGGATTAACACTTTATTTCTGTGTAATTTTTTTTTTTTTTAGGGAGAAGTAATAGCACTAGATAAAGTATCCAACAAAGTAGAAAAAATAAGGCAGAATGCTTTGTTGTTGGGTTTGAATTCCATCAGGGCTTTTTGCTTTGATGGAACAAAGGCGCTTAAACTTGAGATGGTTGAGGACACAGAAGGTGAGTAAAATTTTATTGTAAAGACTTCTGTAATTGTCTTTCACAGGCAAATAACAGTGAGATTTTTGCTATTATTGTTCTTGCCCCAAAATATCCGTAGGGTCTTGAAACTTTGGCATGGATCCAAGATCTTTTGCCATATTAGATATCTTTTTGCTTTTCATTTAATCCCTGAATATCAGGTTTTTAGTAATGCACAGGCAGATAAATCCCCAAGACTTGTTCAGACTCTTTGTTCTTGCTGATTTTGTTTTCATTTCAGATTATATATCAGAAAGTTTCTGAGATGTGACATGAGCCTTTCAATTCTATGATTAGTGAGCTATTTTGTTTTCATTTTTTTTCTTGAGGAATGGGGTATGGAACAGGAAGGGGAGGGTAAACTGCCACATACTTTGTTTTGGAATTAGATGTTTATGATATCACTACTGCATTTATTAAATCACTGTATCTCTTTGTGTATTTTTGTTTAGATTTAATTTAATGTAATACTCCAGAAACTTGCATATTTTAATGTACTAAGTGCCATTAATTTTCTCAGAATGTTTATTGGTTAAAGATGCTACCTTGATTAAAGATAATTTATGAAAACCTGAGGACATAGGTTTGATTTCCCCCTCCACCTTCTGCTACAGATCATCAAGATTGCCCTAAAAAAAATACTCTTTCTCACCATCTATTTTGTCTAGATATAATTGTTCATAAGAATAAAAAGAGGACAGTAGGTAGCTCAGTATAATCTATGACTATCACACTACTAAAAGTGGTATGTCACTAATTTTTATTTCTCTTTGGATTAGGGTATCATTGTTCACAGTAACGATAGGTTGGGATTAAGGTTAGAACAGTGATGACATAAGGATAGCCATCTTGGAGGTTAGTCTTCAGTGCTGTAATGAGACAATCTATTAACTAATTTTGGATATTTAATCATTAATTTTTTTTTTTTTTTTTACTCATCTATATCACTTTATTACCTAATTGTTTAGCTCTTGTTTTCATCACAGATATTCTCTGATAGTTTGATTTTAGAATATCAGATGGTAGAGCCAATCTGGCAGAAGATGCATTAGTAGTAATGTGAAAATCGACATACCTTTGAGACTTTGAAAAGTGTATTATTTTCCTAAGGCTGCCGTGACAAAGTACCACAGCTGGGTGGCTTCAAATAACAAAAATTTATTCTCTCATAGTTCTGGAGCTAGAAGTCCCAAATTAAGATGTTAGCAGGGCCATGCTATCTTTGAAGGCTCTAAGGGAGGAATCCCTTCTTGTCGCTTCCAGCTGCTGGTGGTACCAGGTGTTCCTTGGTTTCTGGCGGCATGACTCTTATCTCTGTGTCTTCACATGACCATCTTCCCTCTGCATTTGTGTCTGTGTCTTTTCATGGCATTTCCCTCTCTATGTCTGTCTCTTCGCTTTTTGTAAGTACACTAGCCATATTGGATTATGTTAACCTTATGTTACCTAATTACATCTGCAGACACACTATTTCCAAATGAGGTTGCATTCGTATGTACTGGATGTTAGGATACGAGCTTATCTTTTGGGGGCATACAGTTCAACCTGTAACAGAAAGTGAGGAATTATTTTGTAATATCTGCCTAATATCTAGTAAGCCACGTAGGATTAAAATAGAAACAAACAAATGAAACACATGGAATGTTTCCTAGAAAAGTAGGGATTGTTCTGAGGGACAGTGCCTGGACTGTATTTGTCTTCTTACAGAGCTAGGAATAGATTAGGTTGAATTTCCTAATTACATGAGAGCAGCATTTTATGGTCAGTTGATTGTGAACCCTAAGAGTTTAGCCAAGGTTTTCCAGGGATTTATATTAGTTGGTGTATAGGCTAAGGAACTATACCAGAGAAATCCAAAATACAGTAGCTTGGGAAAGATAAAAGTGTTTGTTTTTGGTTTTTGTTTATTTTGTGTCATTTAACAGTTAGAAGTGGGTGTCCAGTGTTAGAACTTCATCTGTGTCCAAGTGCCAGTTCTTTCCAGAGGGAAGGGAAAGGGACCAGCAAACTGCACTGCCACTCCTTTTAAGGGCAAGACGTAGAAGTGGGATGAGTGTCCTATTGGTGAAAATTTGGTCATTTATCAATTTAGCTGAAGGGGGACTAGAAAATGTAGTCTTTAGCTATGTATGTAGCCATGTGCTGAGTTCAAACCATTCCTACAGAAAAAGAGGAGAATGGATATTGAAGAGCAACTAGCAGTCTGACAAGGGTTCGTACATAAAATTGGTGATTGTGACTATTTAAATTTATTTATTTTAATCAATAAAAGTATTCTTTTCCCTTTAAAATGGAAGTTTGAAAGCCTCTGAGTATTGAGCAAGGTATAGTATGAGGTGGCAAGCAAAAACTTCAGTGAATCAAAAACTACACCGAGAGCAAGACACATGGTCATTTTGACTCCTATATGGTTTGTTCCGATTATCTAGAGCTGTTGTTACAAATCATCAGAACACTTAGTGTGGCCTAAAACAACGATAATCATTTTATTGTTATTTCTCATAGTTGTGGGAGTTGATAGGTACTCAGCTAGGTGGTTGCGGTGCGAAGGATCACTTTTGTGTGGCGTTTCTCACCATGATCTTGTAACTCTCACCCAAGTGATTGGGTAGGACTGTGCAGATAGGATAATTGTGACCCACTAAGGGGATTGGTCAGTTTTGCTGTCGGTTTTGCTCGAAATGAGCCATCCCAGAGACAGGAAGGAGAGGCTGTCACCACCACCAAGGAAGAAGGGCCAAGAGCAGAGTGCATTCTTCGGGCCCAGGAACCCTGCGCTGAGAAGCTCCTGGAACCAGGAGACAGAGAGAGAGAGAGACTCAGCCTAGGGAGCGAGAAAGCTGAGTGCCTTTGGGCAGGAGGCTTGCTGGCAGAGTAGGGTACCTCCGGGCACTTGGTGGAGCTAGGTTTGCCGACCCATGGAGCTAGAGCTCAGTGCCTTGGGCTGAGGCTTACTGGCAGAGTGGGGTTCCTTGGGGCACTTACTGGCAGAGCTAAGAGTTTTGTTAAGACTTGGCCTGAGCAGGGTAGGGGCCGAGGGGCCAGAGAGAGGCCTGTGTGCGAGCACGACTGAAAAGAGGCTGTCCTGATGGAAGAACTGTCCTGAGCGTTCCTGAATTGTAACCTGTTACTTCTCTAATAAACCCCATAATTGTGAGTATTATCTGTGAGTTCTGTGTGGCCATTGCAGTGAATTGTCCAACCCAGCAGAGAAGTAGAGTGTGCTATGGGAGGGATGGTTGGTGTCAGAATTTGTAAAGATGCTAGAGAGAGGAGGCATGTCTGACATCCGCCTCACGGGAGGAATTAGCTTTGAGCTGTTTATCTTGATTCTCCTTCCTCCTCAAGAAGTTAGAGGGGGTCAGATGCTGCCACCCCCATGCAATTTTTACAGTGGTTCTCACTTTGGATATCTCACCTAATTGTGGTCACATGGTGGTGGAGGTAGGTGTCATTTTGAAGGCTTTCTCTTTCACAGATGTGGAGGTTGATGATGGCCGTTGGCTGGTAACTGGTCTTTCCACGTGGCCTGAGCTTTCTCAGAACATGCTGGTTGGGTTCTGAGTGAGCAACTTGAGAGCCCCAGGCAGGAGCTATATTGCCTAACTTTATATCACCTTTTATGACCTAGTCCAGAAATCATGGTGCATTACTTTTACTGTTGCTCAGAATAAAGGAGAAGGAACATAAACACTGCCTCTTGGTGGAGAAATATCAGTGTCAAACTAGTTTAAGAAGAGCATTTGGGGTGGAAGATATTGTGGCAGTCATCTTTGGCAAATACAGTTTGTTCCACAATCTTAAATTATTTTTATTATTTGTTATAAATTTTTAATTTATATGCACAGTAGATCGTTAGCTGAAGGCAGGAAGAATAAGGAATACTGACTCAGAAATTCTGGAAATAAAAATTCTGCAAATTTACTTCAAGGTGGTTTTCATCTGTTTTATAAATTGGATTAATATGGTTAAATTTCCTATATGGCGTAGCAAAAAAAAAAAATTCTCACAACCAGACCAATAAACAACATCATCATAAACAGAGAAAATATTGAAGTTGTCAAGGATTTCATTTTACTTGGATCCGCAATCAACGACCATGGAAGCGCAGTCAGGAAATCAAACAACGTATTGCATTGGGCAAATCTGCTGCACGAAAACCTCTTTAAAGTGTTAAAAAGCAAAAATGTCACTTTGAGGACTAAGGTGTGCCTGACCCAAGCCATGGAATTTTCAGTCGCCTCATATGCATGTGAAAGCTGAACAATGAATAAGGAAGACCGAAGAGTTGTTGACACCTTTGAATTATGGTATTGGCGAAGAATATTGAATATATCATGGACTGCCAGAAGAATGAACAAATCTGTCTTGGACAAAGTACAGTCCCTGGAGAAGGATACCATGCTTGGTAGAGGGTCAGCAGAAAAAAAAGGAAGACCCTCAAGGAGATGGATTGACACAGTGGCTGCAACAGTGGGCTCAAGTGTAGCAACTACTGTGAAGATGGCGGAGGACTGGGCAGTGTTTCGTTCTATTGAACATAGGGTCGTAATGAATCAGAACTGACTTGATGGCACCTAACAACAACAACATAGCAAGATAATTTTAGGACTATTTTTAAAAGAAAATAGTGTGTTATATTCAGTTAACTTTCATTTGTTAGGAATAAAAATTATCCACACCTGTAATGTTTATTTACAGAGAACTTTCATAAGAAGCAGACTTGAGTCCTATCTTGTCCTTCAGAAATAGTTTATAGAAAGAACAAGTTGTTTTCTGTTACATAATATAAGAACTCCGAACATCAGTTCTTGAAAGCAGTTTTTGTACATTTTTGATGCCAGTGCAATCATCATTTGCATCATTTGTCGTATTTGAATCTTTTTTGCGAATTATTCTCTTAACCTGATTTTAAACTATATCAGACTGTTATCGTTTGTTAAATTTGGGGAAAAGTAGTTTATCTTCCTATATAATGAATATAAAGATTTTTTAAAATGAAAATTATAATAGAATCTTTAATATTCTGATCTCATTTTTTTTTAGATTTCTTGATACATACTCCACATACCATACAATTCACACTTTTAAAGTATACAATTTAATGGTTTTTATTATATTTACAGAGCTGTGCAATCATTACCACAATCTAATTCTAGAACATTTCATCATCCTGAAAAGAAACCCCATATCCATTGGCAGTCTGCTCCTCATTCCTCCCTACCTGCAGCCCTAGGCAACCATTAATTTACCTTTTGCCGTCTATAGATTTGTCTATTCTGGACATTCATATAAATGGGATCACACAATATATGAGCTTTTCTGATGAGCTTCTTTCACTCAGTATGTTTTCTGGGTTCATCCATGTTGTAGCATTCATCAGTACTTCATTACTTTTTATGGCTAAATAATATTTTAGTGTATGAAGAGACCACATTTTGTTTATTCATTCATCAACTAACATTTGAATTGTTACCACTTTTTGACTATTACGAATAGTGCTGCTGTGGAACATCTGTGTACAAACTTTTGTGTGGACATACTATGTTTTCATTTCTCTTGGATACCTCAGAGTAGAATTGCTGGATCATATGGTAACTACGTTTGACCTTTTGAAGAACTTCCAGACTGTTATATAAAGCAGTTGCACCGTTTTACATTCTCACGAGCAATGTATATGAGGGTTTCAGTTTCTCCACATTCTCATCACTTGTTATTTTTCTGTCTTTTTGATTATAACCATCTTGTGTGTGAAGTGGTCTCTCACTGTGGTTTTTATTTGTTTTCCTCATGACTAATGATATTGAATATCTTTTCATGTGCTTATTGGCATGTTATATCTACTTGTCTATTCAAATCCTCTGCCCACTTTTTAATTGGATAATTTGCCTTTTCATTGTTGAGTTGTAAGAGTTCTTTATATATTCTAGATACAAGTCCTTTATCAGATACATGATTTGTAAATATTGTCTCCCATTCTGTGGGTTGTCCATTTATTTTCTTGACGGTATCCTTTGAAGCACGAAAGTTTTTAATTTTGATGAAGTTCAGTTTACGAGCGTTCTCTTTTATCATTTGTGCTTTTGGTGCCATATCTATGAAACTATTGCCTAACCCAAGGTAGTGAGGATATTATCCTATATTTTCTTCTAGCAGTTTTATAGTTTTAGTTCTTACATTTAGGTTTATTATCCCCTTGGCCACCTTCTCTGTGTGTCTGTTTGTCCTTTTCTGTCTCTTATAAGGACACTGTCATTGGATTTAAGGCCCACCCTAACCCAGTGTGATTTCATCTAAACCCTTATCTTAATCACATCTGCAAAGACCCTATTTCTAAATAAAGTTACATTCTGCTTGGAGAGACACTGTTCAACCCACTAGACAGACTTGCTTTCTTTCTCTGGGGCTATCTGTAATAGGAATTACCAAGAGAAGTGCCAGCTCCCAGACTGACTTGAATTAACTCCAGATGATAGCTCTGATGAGTCATAGCTTCTGAAATTGGGAATACGAGGTCTCATTTGATTAGGCCTTGATTTGCACTAAATCAACTGAAAAATCCCAAATTATCTTAACCACATTTTTAACCTTTCTACAAAGTTAGATCCATATTAAATATTAAGTCAGAACTAGCTTAACCAGATGCTGATTGAAGGGGGAAATTGTTTTTGTTTGCATTCTATTCCAAATTATGACTTTAAATTTCCTATAATTCCTTCTGTCTCAAGAGTTTTTTGTTCTTGATCAACAGCAAATATGTTTACAATTCTCTTTATAGGGGAACCTCCATTCTTACCAGAATCTTTTGACCGAATTCTTCTTGATGCACCCTGTAGTGGAATGGGACAGAGACCAAACATGGCTTGTAGTTGGACTTTGAAGGAAGTGACATCATATCAACCGTTACAGCGGAAACTCTTTTCTGTGGTATGTAATGATCCTTTGCTGCTAAAGAAAGTTGACCTTCACGACTTTGATATTTCAAAAAACTGAGAGGACCTAGCTTTAAATACAGGGAGCTTTCCTTTAATGTTGACTGACCCTTTAAAATATATAGGCAATAGGAGAATTTCTTCACTGTTGAGATTTAATGAATTTCAAGGACTCTGCTCTATCTTTAAAAAAAAAAATCTCTAATTGCCAACAGTTAATTACTAATTGATGTAAAGAATTGGGTATAAAATAAAATACTCTTTTTTTACAGAATTAATTATATTTCTTCCTGGGTCATCTCAGATAGCAAAGTAGAAAGGAGAGGGCCAAGAGAGGCAAATAAACACATTGATAAAAATGGGACGTGAGAATGGCCAGTTTAGGATATCAAAAAACCGTAAAAACTTAGCAAATTTAACTGTTCTCCAGTATATTTTAGAAGAAGCCTAGATAGAACATTTGAGGATTTCTCCTAGTCTTGGAAACATGATTCAGTAGATTTCACACAGTATGGACAGCATTTGATAGAAGATAATTTCATTATTTCCTCTCAGTTCTCTAATTATAAATACTTAGGGTATAGCAATTATGGATATACAGGTGGCACAGTGGTTAAGAGCTCGGCTGCTAACCAAAAGGTCGACATTTCGAATCCGCCAGCCGCTCCTGGGAAACCCTATGGGGCAGTTCTACTCTATCCTGTAGGGTCTCTGTGAGTCAGAATCGACTCCATGACTACAGTTGGGGTGTTTTTTTTTTTTTTTTAATTTGTTCAGTCTCTGAAGTTGTCTTTGAGTACATTTCTAGTCATCTCTCCTGGTGTCTCCTTTTGTATACAAAGGTAGAACTAGTAGTGGATTACTTTTTTCTTCTACATAGTCTTCAAAGAACACCTTTTGGGAATTAAAACAGCGAGCAGCAAAAAAGAAGCTTTAATTATAGCTGAAACCCACTTTGATTTGTGGGTAAAATTAGGGTACTGTTTTAAGAAACTTGGTTTTTTTGTTCTTTTTAGGTCATAGCAAAAAGAAAATTTAAAAAGGCTAGCAGGGGTAGGTGCATCGATTTCAATAAAAAGGAATATCTAACAGTGTGTGAGAAAGAACTTAGAACATAGACAGGAAGTGATTGAGAACATGGGCCTCAGAATCAGACCTATCTTGATTTGAGTTATGGCTTCTCCATATAAGTGACAGCAGTGAACCAAGAAGAAAAATGAGCTTATGCAGGGCTGTGGGTTCTCAGCAAATAATTGACATTACCCAGTGGTGAGGTCACAGCTTTTATTACACCCTAATGGGGATGAAAAGAAATGGTAAGATTTCATCTTGAACTGGTCTTCCTTTGGCCCTTGTCCCAGGATGAGATGACAGACCCCCTTTATGCACGCATCGCTCCTCAATTTGTCGTAGGTGAAAGACAAAGCAACAAAGGGCTCATATACCTTAGACCAGAGGAATTTATGTGCTGGGGTACATAGGAAAAAGGGAAGGGGAGAAAGAGGGAGTTGCCGTTTGATACCGTCTGGGCTCAGGGTGTGTGATGGTTTTGTGGTCATTCCCCAGCCTTGATGGCTTCAAAGGAAGAACATATCCTCCCCTTCAGGAGTCTAAGATAAGATCTTGTAGCATGCAGTTATATAGTTAATCATATACCTTACCACTGAGGCACGGGGCTGGGGGTCTACTTGCCCTGGAGTACATTCTTCAGCACACTTTCAGTGTAAAGGTCATGTAGGTGGTAGGAGAGAAAGTGCCCTCTACTGCTTCTGCAGTGACTTTTAAGGATATAAGTTTCCATATCTAAGAAATGGGGATAATAACTGTACCTAATAGAGATACCCCATTGGGGATAATAGCTTTACTTCATTGTTGTTATAAGGATTTATTAAGAAAATCCATGTAAAGTGTTTAACACAGTAGCTGGCACATGGTAACAACGTTTAAATTTTGATCAGCATACTCTGGTTAAGAAAGCAGATGCATATTTTTTTAAAAAGATTTTCATTAAAATTTTTCAAAAAATAAAATTTGAGAATTTGAAAAAATAAAATTTTAGTGATTGTGGACAAACTCATTTTAGCCTAACACCTTATTTCATTGAGCATCTACTACCTTCAAGGCATATTCTACGGGCTGACCATATAGTGAAAAAAATATACAATGAAAAAAATACGCAATGCCTGTCCTTCTTTACTGATAGAATTTTTATTCTAATTGGGGAGGAAAATAAACAAGTAACTTATGTAATATATTCTAAGGTGATAACACTGTGGACTTAGGGAGTAAACTAAAGAAAGGAATGGGGATAGGAGTGCTGGATTAGAATAGTTGCAGTTTTACAGGGCAATCAGAGAGGCCGTTGCTGAAAAGGGGACACGTGAATAAAGATTATCAAGGAGCAAGCAATGCAGGGAATAGAAGAGCTTTCCAAGTTAGTGCTAAAACCCTGAGATAGAAGTGTACCTTGCATTTCCAGGAATAGCACATAGGTTGCTGTTGCTAAAACAGTGATCAAGGGTAGGAGGTGTACAAGATGAGGTCAGACAGGAACAGAGCCCTAATTTATGTAGGGCCTTAAAGCCACTATAAGGACATTAGCTTTGACCCTAAGTGATAATGGAGGGTATTTCGAGGGCTGTGGGCTGAGAAGTAACATGTTTTAGAAGGACTGTTGTGACTGCTCTACTGAGAATAAATTGTAGGAGGGCAGGGAAGGAAGTGGGTAGACTAAGTACGAGACTGTCGCAGCAATTCCAGGCAAAGATAATTTAGGTTTGGCCCAGAATGGTACCAGTGGAAGTGGTGAGAAGTAGCCAAATTCTGGGTATATTCTGAAGGTAGAACCATAGTGTTTGCTGTTGGATGGGGAATATGAGAGAAGGAGAGGCATCAAGGATAATTAATGTTTGGGGCCTGAGCAGCTGGAAGGATGGGAAGATTTCAGGTGCATTAGGCTTGGGAGGGAACATAGGAGCTTAGTTTTGGACATGGCGCATTTGAAATGCCTTTTTGATGGTAAGTAGAAATGTCGAAAAGGCAGTTGCATATGTGAGTCTGGAGTTCAGAAAAGAGGTCTGGTGTAAAAATGTAAATTTGTGAGTTTTCGACATAAAAATGGTTTCTAAAGCCATGAAACTGGATGATTGTACTTAGGAAAGTTTTGATCTTCATGGACTATAACAGCCCCAAGATAATGAAATGCATCTAATGTGGAAGATTATCTATTCTAATTAGAGAAACGTCCTTATCATACAGAGTATTTTATTTATCCCAAACACTTGAACTATATCATATATTATTCTATAAACCAAACTAAACTTATTACCATTGAGTTGATTTCAACTCATAGCAACCCTGTAGGACAGAGTAGAACTGCCCCATAGGGTTTCCAAGGCTATAAATCTTTAAGCCAACTGCCACATCTTTCTCCCGTGGAGCAGCTGGTGGGTTTGAACTGCTGACATTTCAGTTAGCAGCCAAGCACTTAACCACTGCACCAGCAAGGCTCCTCATTATGCTATAAAATCCCTTCAAATGTTTATTTAGTCTTGTCTAATGCATAGTCTCTACACTTTTCTTTAGGCAGTTCAGCTGCTGAAGCCAGGGGGCGTGCTGGTTTATAGCACATGCACTATAACACTGGCAGAAAATGAGGAGCAAGTTGCCTGGGCCCTCAGAACATTTCCTTGCGTTCAGCTTCAGTACCAGGTAAGAGTAGTTTGTTTTCTCTACATAATCTGATAAATCACAGAAACTTAAGCATGGTGATAAACAGAGTGTCGCATGAAGAAATGTATCAAGCAAAATTTCTGAAACAAATACTGCAAGAATTTGTTTCTCTAATTAGAACCATTTAGACTGCCCATATAGTCCAGCTTAAGTATATAATTACATATATATTACAAAAAAAAAAAAAAGACCCAACCCATTGCCACTGAGTCAATCCCAACTCATAGTGACCCTGTAGGACAGGGTAGAACTGCCTCATAGATTTTCCAAGGAGCAGCTGGTGGATTCAAACTGCTGCCTTTTGGTTAGCAGCCAAGCTCTTAACCACTGCACCAGCAGGGCTCCATGTATATATTAACTGGACGATATGAAGAAGAATGCATATCAGGTTTGGAGGAAGACTCATTAACAACCTGTGATACGCAGATGACATAACCTTGCTTGCTGAAAGCAAAGAGCACTTAAAGCACTTACTGATGAATTACACCTCAACATAAAGAAAACAAATCCTCACAACCGGACCAATAAGCAATATCATGATAAATGGAGAAAGGATTGAAGTTGTGAAGGATTTCATTTTACTTGGATCCACAATCAATGCCCATGGTAGCAGCAGTCAAGGAATCAAATGATGTATTGCATTGGGCAAGTCTGCTGCAAAAGACCTCTTTAAATTGTTGAAAAGCAAAGGTATCACTTTGAGGATTAAGGTGCGCCTGACCCAAGCTATGGTATTTTCAGTCACTTCATATGCATGTGAATGCTGAACAGTGAATAAGGAAGACCAAAGAATTGATGCCTTTGAATTATGGTGTTGGTGAAGAATATTGAATATACCATGGACTGCCAAAAGAATGAACAAGTCTGTCTTGGAAGATGTACAGCCAGAGTACTTCTTTGGAAGCGAGGATGGCGAGACTTCATCTCATGTACTTTGGATGTGTTATCAGGAGGGACTAGTCCCTGGAGAAGGACATCATGCTTGATAAAGTAGAGGGTCAGCGAAAAATAGAAGATCCTCAACAAAATGGATGGATACAGTGGCTGCAACAACTGGCTAAAATTAGCCACAATTGTGAGGATGGCACAGGACCGGACAGTATTTCATTCTGTTCTACATAGGGTCACTATGAGTTGGAACTGAGTTGATGGCACTTAACAATAACAAGACTGCCCACAGGATTTGCACTTCCTGACAAAGTTTTTTCGTGTGCTCATTCCATGTCATTGTGTTAAAATGCCATAGAATTTCGGTGCATTTTTTTTTAATTGTTGGTAAATCTAATTAATTATTTATTGAACCTTAGAAACACATGGCTTAAGATATATGTTAGCAGAAACCAGTCTCAAGATGTCACTCAACAAAAACATTTCCAGAAGCTTAGCACTGAATTGGCCTTATTAGCACCATCTGCTCATCAGTCTTGCTTGTGGAAAAGTGTTTTCATCGGATAGCAACAAGTTTGAAAACAAGGCAGATCACAATACTTTGTTTTGAATTTGACACCATGTTTTGCCTGCCTCTTATCACAGTTTTAAATCGCCAAATTAAATAAGTGAGTTGAATCATGGCATTTGCATGGTTTTCTCTGTGATCCCTCAGGCGTGTGCAGATGTCCAGAAGTTCCTTCTTCACAGGCCTGTCTCCATCAGATTGCTAAGTCAGATGTTTGGAGAAATCCTCTCTTAGTGACAACATTCAAGCAAACCTTGTCCACATACTCCATTTTTTATCATTCTACAAGTCTGGTTGTTCTAACACATTGAGGCCATGGAAAAGTTACACTTACGGTCATGCAAAAATTAAAATCATAGGCTGGATGAAGATTTGAACTAATAGTTACTCCTATTTGAAAGGCGTTCTTCTGGGAGTCTTTTGACAACTAAGCACTAGTCATAAGAGAGTTTACTAGATGGATTTCCTGTCTTTTTTTTTTTTTTTAATTGATGTAATTAAATGAAGTTTACATTTCAAGTTAGGTTCCCATACAGAATTTTTTTTTTTTAAATGTACATTGTTATTAGACCCCAACCGCTCACCCCATTCTGCGACAGCACACTCCTCCCCTCCGCCCCTGATTCCCCATGAACATTCAGCCAGCTCCTAACTCTCTCTGCCTTCCCCTCTGACCTCTGGACAGAAGCCGCCCCTTCGGTCTCTTATATCTACTTGTCTAAGAGGCACATTCTTCACGAGTATCACTTTATGTCCCACAGTCCAGTCCAATCCCTGTCTGAAGAGTTGGCCTCGGAAATTGTTTTAGTTCTGGGGTGATG